CGTTGCAACAGCTTCACAGATGAAAGGTGGCACGCTTTCGAATGTGGCTCTCGCCTCGGCGCCGCGCACGTTCGTCTTAAGAAATTCCAAGGAGCTTCATGGATGGAGGGCGGTTCCTTTTCAAAACGGAGCTCTCGCTTTAGCGCCGCGTTCGTGTGAGATAAAGGTTTACAAGAGCTTCACGACTGCAAGGCGGCCCGTTTACAAAATGCAGCTCTCGCCTTAGCATCGCGCACATGCATTACAAAAGTCTGCAAGACCTTCACGGATGGAGGGCGGCCCGTTTTCAAAATGTCGTTCTCACCTCAGCGCCGCACACATTCGTCTTAAGAGTTTGCAACAGTCTCGAATATGATCGTGGATAACGTCCCAGAAATGGTGTTTTGGCACGGTGTCGGAATGTCAGGGCGCGACAGTCACATCGATTCGCGGTGTTGAAATCCAACGGCGTTCTGACACGATTCAAGATCGTCAAGACGCAACAATAACGGTAATTCGCGGCGTTGAAATCCCAGGAATGGCCTTCTGGCACACTTCCAAAATTTCAAACCGTTGTCTTTTAATGGTGCATTTCCCTCAGTGAAGATGAATCCGTGCAGGGGCCTGTGAAGATGGAACTTGGAGGGAAGGTTGATCGCAATCTCGTTGATGAGTCTCGGGTTTACACTGGTCCTCCTCCTCCTCCTCCTCATCCTCCTCCTCCTCCTCCTCCTCCTCCTCCTCCTCCTCCTCCCCCTCCTCCCCCTCATCCTCCTCCTCCTCCTCCTCCTCCTCCTCCTCCTCCTCCTCCTCCTCCGCGAACCAGGAGGACGAAGACGAGCACGAGGGCGGGAGCGCGCCTCGGAAAGCGAGGGCCCGAGAAGGGCGGCGGGGGTCCCGAGCCGAGAGGCCCCCACTCCGCGCCTTGGCCTGCGCCGCCGCCGCACCAGCGCCGCCAGGGGGGGCGGCCTCGCGGCGGCCAGAACTGAGAGGGGGGGGGATATTCTCGGACCCCGGCGGTTTCGCACCCGTTCCTCCCCGCGGTGGCTCCAGGAGGGCCAACCTTAGGGATCTCCCCTCTTCGCAAGGTCGCCCCTGGTGTCTCTCGCTGCCACCTTGTGCAGGAGCTGGGGCACGCACAACACTTTTTCTCTTGCACAGCTGCGCTCTCTTGTTCGAAGTCGTTTGTTTTGGTCGGTCGTCGTTCGTTCGTCACCGCTCGTTGGTTCGTCGCCCCCCAGGGCCCACTCTGCCCTTGACTCCATGGCAAGGCAAGGCAAAGTCCCTTACGAGCACGAAACCCGGTCGGATACCGGGCGCGGGGTGAAACAAATACATGAAAAACACATATATGATCCTTCCTGAGGATGCATATGGTTGTCTCTCCATGATGGCCCCAACAGGCCCTGATGACTCCAAGAGGTTCACCACTTTCTCCCCATGCTCCTCCTGGCCCTCGCCTCAACCTCGAGCCACAGCCAGGGCGCACTTGCCACTTGTGATTGTGTTTGTAAGAGGCGTCCGCACACCACCGCCACGCCTGCCCAAGGCCATCCTGGGCCATGGCATGTTATGGACCCTCTCCTGGCTGAAACCAGGAGGAACCATACACCATCCTGAAGCCCAGGATGGCCCTGGCCAAGCGCGGCGGCGGTGTACGGATGCCCTCTGCAGATGTGGACCACTGCGAGCCCAGCTGACGAACCGCTGCACAAGCAGGAAAACGATGGGGCGCATGAAGCCATCCTTTGAAGGGATAGGAGATGACGACGGGACCGGGAGGAGAAGAAGACGGAGGCAATAATGGAGAAGAGGGAGGAGGTCGATAATCAACAGTCTTGCTATACAGAGGCCCGTGGGGGCCTGGTAATTTGGCGCCGTGGCGCCGTTCTATTGCACAGCCCAGTGAACAACCAAAGAAAAACAGTTAACCAGACCAGGCGGGCGGAGGAGAACAAGAGAAAGTTCCAGAAGGCGATCAAGGCAAAATGCAACGACGCTTTTGTGGACGAGGCGTGACGGTCGTGGAGGCGCCGGCAGCGGTGCGGCAAAAATAGTTTAAGTCCGCCGCTGCGGGCTCCGTCGCGGCTGTGCAGGCCGCGAGCTTGTGGCCCGACGGGGGGCACGTGTGTTGTAGACCGCCCTATCGGTATCCCCGATCGGTCGTAGCACCGCGAAGCGAGCCTTGCCTCCTCCGCCGCGGCTGTGACCAGACAGGGAGCGCGTGCTCTGTGGCCGCCATGGCACCCCCCCGGTCGGTCGCAGCACCGCAAAGTGGGCCCACCGCTGTGGGTGCCAGCGCGCCATGACCGCCGCGGCTGCAGAGGAGGCTGCGAATGCATGCTCAAGCAGGGCGCGCCGTGGCCCGCCATGACAGCACCCCCTATCGGTCGCAGCACAGCGAAGTGGGCCCACCGCTAGGTCGTAGGGGGGCAGCACCCCGCCATGACAGCCACAGCGAAGTGGGGGGGCAGGTGCGTTGTGGCCCGCCATGGCCCACGACAGCGCCCCCGATCGGCCGTAGCACCGCGAAGCGGGCCAGGCCGCCCCCACTGCAGAAGCGGGCGGGCGGGCAGGCGAGGCCAAGAGGCGGGGTAGGGGGCGGGTGGGCGGGAGAGAAGAGCGCCATGTCCATGTAGCATCCACTGAGATATCAGCCCCACTCGATGAACGAAGGCTCGACTTCACGCCGCCTGACAGAGCAGGCAACAAAGAGAGACAGAGGGCGGTCAGCTAGGGCAGCTAGGGTCCCCACCTATCCGACGCCCCTGCAAAAGACCGAGGCGCGAAAGGGGTGCTCAACCTTGGGCGAGAGAAGCTGCAAACACCACCATGAGGGCACCTCTTCGCGCAAGGGGGGGGAGCTTGCTGCCCTGCCCTGGCCCCCCCTCGTGAGGAAGGCCAGGCGGCTCAGGCGCTCTGGGTCACGGCAGGCAGCTCCTGCATTTCGGTCAGCACGCTCTGCGTGGCTCTCGCCCTCCACTGCCGCCTCCCTGTGTCGGAGGCTAGTGGCGGGCCCGCGTCCGTCCGAGGCCATTGCGGTGGACACCTGGGTGGGAGCAGCACGAGCTGGCACCGAGCGCGCCCCCACTGGAGCCAAAATGCCCAGGCGTCTGCCAAGGCGATGGCGGCTTCAACTTGCTCCAACTCGGCTGGCGCAGCTGCGTGCGCGGCAGCGGCGCGGGGCGCCTCCCGCGGCACGTGCGCAAGCCCAGGGTGTGTACCCCCAACAGTGGCTAACTCGACCTGGGCGTGGCCGGCTCGCCCGTGCGGCCGCGGGCGACTGCGGGACCGCGGGTCGCAGGTGGTGACGGCGGTCTAGTGGAGGATCACAAAGCGTGTGTGCCGCTGCTCGGTCTAAGCCACCACGGCGAGGGACGGCCCAGAGGTGCTGCCAGCTGTCGCAGATGTGGGCCGCCCGTGACAAGAGCCCGCCCCGAAGGATGGCAAGGCGAGGCCACCAGCGACGGCGTGGCTGTCGGCGTACGCGCGGGTCGCTCGGCAGTCGCTGCGGGGTGTGGCGGGGCAGGAGGGAGGAGAGGAGCGGGGAGGAGGAGAGGGGAGGGGAGAAGGCAAGCTAGGTGCGCTCGCGTCGTATCTGAACTCCTACCCCTCCCTCCCATCCCTTACCATGGCTTAGACCTCCTCTCTATTCGCACAATCGGATGTCGTAGCATGGCATAGCATTACATGGCATAGCATGGTGTCGAAGATCAACGCGCAGCATGACATAGCATGGCGTGGCGACGTCCCCAGGTGGGTGGGGGGCTTCTGCGGCCCGAAAAATCAACGAATCGACACCGAATGTGTAACCACTTCCGATGGTTTCTTCGGGAAGCCATTCTCTACATTTTGGGGACCAAAAATCATGCCGGGGCATGGCGCTCGAAATAATGACGCCAGCGCTGCAGCGGGAGCACGATTCGGAACGAGCGGAAGCGCGGAAATGAGGCCAGCGCTGCAGCGGAAGCACGATTCGGAACGAGCGGTAGCCCGAAAATGAGGCCAGCGCTTTAGCGAGAGCAGCATTTTGAAAAACAACAAGCGCGGAAGCGCGGAAATGAGGACGCGTAGCCTGACATAGCATGGCGCGGCGACGCCCCCAAATGGGGGGGCTTCTGCGGCCCCAAAAAATCAACGAATGAGCCCCGAATGTGGAATCACGTCCGATGGTTTTTTCGGGAGGGTATTTTGTAGATTTTGGAGCAAATTTAGCAGGACCGAAAACCATGCCGGGGCATGGCGCTCGAAATAATGACGCCAGCGCTGCAGCGGGAGACCGATTCGGAACGAGCGGAAGCGCGAAAATGAGGCCAGCGCTGCAGCGGGAGCACGATTCGGAACGAGCGGTAGCCCGAAAATGAGGCCAGCGGTTCAGCGAGAGCAGCATTTAATATATATATATATATATATATATAAGAAAAAAGAGAAAAAAACAATATTTTTTCTTTATATATATATATAAACCAAAAAAACAACAAAACAAAACAAAAAAAAAATGATTCCTGTGTAAAAACCAATACGCGAAGGGGGGCCAGACATTCCCCAGACGCCACCAGGGGAGAGAGGAGAGTAGTATTCATATTGTGTAATTGTAAAGGAAGGGATGAGAAGGAGCTCCACACCCAACGCCCACCCCCCTTGCAGAGCTGCCGAGGGAGATGCATCCTGGAAGACGAAGATCGGAGCTGGGAGACTGCCGTGACGTTCCCGGAATTCCCCGTGCCCGCCCTCGCACTCTCGAGCCCTCTCCCTGAGCCCCCTCCCTGGTGCCAGTTTGCCGTCCTGGATCGATTATGTCGGCCGTCGGGCCCGAAAAGGCCCCGGGGATGCCGCAATGGCAAGAAAGCGTGAGGATTGGAAGGAGCAGTCCGCCAGAGGTTTGGGCTGACGAGGACGACGACGGCCCGCGGACTACTCCTGCGGCGGGCTCTGGCCAGAACCTCGAGCGGAGTCCAGCCGCGGTGACGAGGGCGCGCCGGGAGGCGCAAAGGACCCTCACCGCGAAGAGGTCGAGTCTGAAACCTCGACCCGAGCAGAGGAAAATCCGCCAGAGGTCCCGCGCGCGCGGGCCCTCTGCGTCCAGTGGCGGGCGGCTCGGCTCCGCGCGCCCGCCCCAGCAACGCCGAGCCCTGCGGCACAGGTCGTCATCGCCAGGACCGTCCCAACCCCGACTGGGACAGGGCAGGCCAGGGCTCCGAGCCTGCTCCCTCTGGGCGGGGAGGGGTGCTGATCAGCCCGAAGGAGAACGCACCCGTCCCCACATCGGGGGGGCAGGTCGGCCAGCGGGGCAAACGCTCCCCCGGTCGGGGTGGGGATAATGGTGTGGCCCTCGGGAGTGGCACGCGCCCGCGGACACAGCCGCGGCGGGTCGCCCGCGCCATCTCACGCGCGCGGCGGCGTCCCTCGGCGCTCCAGCGGCGCAGCGACCGAGCCCCCGATCATGGAGAGCGTTCACGGTGCGTCCGAGGCTTGGAGGTGTTGAATGTGGCGGCGGGGCCCGCGCCGCTGAGGAGGGCGGCGACGTCCTCGACCTGGTGCAGCGCGGGTCGGCCGCGAGGCGGGGACGCCGACTTGCCTCGCGCGCAGCGTGGGCCGAGCCCGCTTCTCCCACGCCAGCCCAGGCCAGGAGTTGAGGCGCCTGCGCCTCGAACCGTGACCGCGCTGCGGCGTGTGCGCGCGTGCGGGCGAGGCTCCGATGTCCACGCCTCAGGCGCCAGACGCCGCCGCCGCCGCTCGCAGCGCCGCCGCTGCCGCGGCACCCGGGTCGCGCCCCGCGGCCAGCTCGGCCTCAAACAGCGACCGCACGAGGCTGGCGGCGCCGGACCAGGCGGCCGCCGCGCAGGGCCCTGGCCCCTCGTCGAGCGCGCACCGGGGCAGCGGCAGCTGGCCCGCGGCCAGGATGCCGTCGCGGACCATCTGCGCGCGCACGCGCTGGCCCGACAGGCCGCGCTGGCGCATGTCCAGGTACTTCTGTGCGGTGGCAGGCGCCTCGCCAGCGCCCTGGCTGGTCGAGACGCTCGGCGGGGCACTGCCCTCCGAGGCCCCGCCGCCGCCACCGCCAGAGCGCTCGCAGGGGACGAAGGTGCGGAAGTGGCTGACGGCCTTCTCGAACATGCTCCCCTCCCAGAACACCTTGCCGCAGCCGCCGCACCGCCAGAACTCCTGGTACCGCGCGAGCACCTTGTCCGCGACCTCGCCCCGCACCTCGTCGCTCCCGCAGGCGACCCAATTCGACGCGTTGCACTCGACGCAACGCCCGCAGATGTTCTGCGAGTCTACGCGCACGCCGAAGACGTCGATGACCTCCTGGAGCTGCTCATCGGGCCGTTCCGCGCGCACGAAGTAGGTCCGCCCCAGCGCCTCCGCGCCGAGCTGCCTCTTGCCTGGCCGCGCCAGTATCACTCGGTCCTCTCTCTTCGCCGTGCTGGCGAGCGCCTGCAGCGAGGCGCCCTCTGGCAGCAGCACAGAGTCGATCCCAATGCCCCGCAGCTTGCGCATCAGCCTGTTCAGCTCGGACGGCAGCAGGAACCTGCGGGGGGAACGATGGGGGAGGCGGACTGGCCCAGGGGTGGGAACCTTGACGCGGAATCGGCGATACATCGCCGATAGGTCGGCGATGAGCCCTCGATAGCAAACCCAAACGCTCCTGGGCGGGTTGGGAGGCCCAGGCCCCGAGTGGCCATGAATGGGCGATTGGGGGGCCGATGCTCCCCAACGTCCTGGGCCAGTCCCCCCCCCTTCCCCGTTGTTTAGGGAACCGAACTCTATACACCGACGCTTGTTCCGGCCCTGCACCGCCCCGACGTCGCCCACAACCCTCAAAAATCCGGGGATTGAGAAACAGCCTGCCACTGGCAGTGTATATGTCCCAGTTCCCGAGGGTTGCCCCCAAGCACCGCAGGTCGGAATCCGCGTCCGCCTGCCGGCCGGCCAGCCCTCGGCGCAGGCGCGCGGCCTCGCGGTGCAGCCGCCACCGCTCGCGCTCCCCCTCCGGGCCCGGCGCCTCCTCCGCAGGAGCGGGGGCCCCCGAGGGGGCCGGCGGCGCGCGGCGATCCCCGGCGGCACCCGCCCCGGGGCCGCGCGCGCGGCGGGGAGCGCGCAGGCTGACCTCGAGCAGGCACGCCGCGTCGAGCGCGGCGTAGTGGACCTGCCGCGAGGACAGCGGCCTGCGGTTCCAGTCGGAGCGCTGCATCCGCTTGTCCTCGGCGGCGCGCGCAGGGGGGCGGCGTGAGGAGGGGGGGGGGCGCCTTCTGGGCAGGCGGGGGGGGGGTCTCAGAAGGCGGGGGGGGGCTCCGTACTATTCCAATAGAAAGGCCCAGGAGCTTCTGGGAGCTCCTGAGAGGGCTTCTGGGGGGCCACCTGCCCTCTGAAAAGCCCCCGCCGCCGTCTCTGAAGGCCGCCCCCCTCACGGCACCCTCTCTTTGCGCGCCGCCAGTGGCCAGGTCTGCGCCCAAGCAGTGGCCGACGACCGCGCGGAGGCTGGGCTGCGGACCCATCGGCCACCCCGCTCGCTGAAGATCGACCCACCTGGCAAATACGGGGGGCTCACCCCCGTCGCAAGGCTCCGGCAGCACCCCGGCGGCCACGAGGCGCCGCTGGTCCTCCCTGGGACCCCATGCCAGCACCTCGTGGCGCCCCAGGCAGAGGGGAGGGGAGGAGGGAGGGCGGGGAGAGGAGGGAGGGAAGGAGAGAAGGCGGCAGGGTGGCACCCGTCCCGTGCGAGCAGAGACTTTTACCCAGCTCGGGTGAGCTGGCCCGAAGGCGTTTCGAGGTGCATCACAGCTGAAGCTGAAGCCGAAGCCCAGGCTGAATAGAAGGAAAGGGCCTACCCTGCAGACTCGGTTAGGACGGGGAGAGGAGGGGGGCGAGGAGGAAAAGGAGGCGGGCGGGAAGGAGAGGTCCGCGGACGGCGGCGGTACGCCACCACCATCCCTGGCCAGGGCCATACTGGGCCCCAGCTTGGTGAATATACCCTCCATTCCTCGACCAGGAGGTCTACACACCATCCTGGGGCCCAGGACGGCCCTGGCCTGTGACGGTGGTGGCGTAGATCTGCCGTCTGTGGAACGTGGCAGGAGGGGAGGACATGCCAGTACCTCGTGGCGCCCTGGAAGCGCGGAGTGCGGGGTGAGCAGCCGACGACAGTGCAGCAGCACCGACTCGTGCGGCGCTGGGACCATGTCCACCAGAAAGACGGTCGTCTCCTACGGGGACGAGCAGAAGGAGGACTCGAGGGTTCAAGGGCTCAAGCGCTGGCTGCGTCATACTTAGGAGGCCGCCATCACCCGCCGATGAAGAGAAGGAGAGGTACAACAACGATCGAGGGGCCGACCGAAGGGCCAAGAAAAAAACGAGCGAAGGCGAGTGCCCATAAAAGACAAAACGACTGACCAAGATGGCACCCTGGGGTGGCAGGAGAAAATACCGATCCCGCTTTGTACTCCCTCCTCCTCCTCCTCCTCCTCCTCCTCCTCCTCCTCCTCCCTCCTCCTCCTCCTCCTCCTCCTCCTCCTCCTCCTCCTCCTCCTCCTCCTCCTCCCTCCTCCTCCTCCTCTCCTCCTCCTCCTCCTCCTCCTCCTCCTCCTCCTCCTCCTCCTCCTCCTCCTCCTCCTCCTCCTCCTCCTCCTCCTCCCTGGACCCCTTCTGGGGCGCGCTCTGGCCAGGACCCCGTGGCGAATGCAGCCGCGGCGACGAGGGCCCCCAGGGCAGCTGCGTCAGCATCGGTGTGCTCAAATCCGCTCGAAATCCGTCCCAGGACCCCTCCCGACGTCCAGCCTCGCCGGTTTCTCGTCCAGGATCCACTCCGTACGGTCCCAGGGCCCGATCTGGGCCACGGGGCCCAAATCCAGGAAAGACCTCCAGCGCAAGGTTTCCTCGATTCGCCCAAGGAGGTCTGGGAGGTCTCCTCTCGGGCGCGGCGCGGCCACACCGACCCCTTATGTGACGAGCCCCTTGCGTGACAGCTCCCCCACGTCTGGCCGCCCGCCCAGGTCTTAGAGCGAGGCGAGGGGGTCGACACGGAAGGGGTCGGTTCGCCAGGGGTCGGTTAGGCCGCCCCGCATCCCTGGCCCCGTTGTGCAGACGGGAGGTCTGGGAGGGATCCTCTCGGGTGGGCCGAAGAGCGGGGGGGGCAGATAGAGGGGGCTTAGCGGAGGGGGGGGGGGGGGGCCGGGGGCAAATTGGCTAAAGAAGAGGGGGCCATGAAGCCGGAGACGCTCCGTGACCCTGGCCATGATATCCCACCCCCATAATACTCACCCCCCGCTTCGACGCATGGTGGTGTCAGGGTCACAACTGAAGCCTCGGGCGGCCGTTCGGAACGACCTGGGCACCCCCGAAAGGCCCCCGACGAGGCACAGCTGCTGGAAGGCGCCCCGAGGCGAGAAAATCTCCTTGGTCACCCAACTTCGCGCACGGCGCCCCGCGATACGCGGAGCGCGGTGATCTTCGCGCCCTCGCACCGCCGCCAGGGAGATGGGCGCATCTCAAAATCAAGCCGGGACAAGCGAAATGCGACCAAGCCGACCTTGAGCAACCTCGTAATTGAGTCGAAGGGAAGCCCCTTCCCTTTGATCCCTCCCCCGCCGGGAGGGGGGGGGGGGTAGCGAAGCCCCCCCCGGGTCAGATACGACGCCCCCCCCTGGGACTCCTCTTCCCCTGGGCTCCAGCCAAGCCGACCTTGAGCAACCTCGTAATTGAGTCGAAGGGAAGCCCCTTCCCTTTGATCCCTCCCCCGCCGGGAGGGGGGGGGGGGTAGCGACCCCCCCCCCGGGTCAGATACGACGCCCCCCCCTGGGACTCCTCTTCCCCTGGGCTCCAGCCAAGCCGACCTTGAGCAACCTCGTAATTGAGTCGAAGGGAAGCCCCTTCCCTTTCATTCCTCCCCCCCCCCCCGAGTCAGATACGACGCCCCCCCCCCGTACCGACCTTGAGCAACGTCGTCATTGAGTCGAAGGGAAGCCCCTTCCCTTTCCCTTCCCCGACGGGGGGGGGAGAGGAGGTCCCGGGGGGGGTCCCGGGGGAGTCCCGGGGAAGTCCCGGGTCAGATACGACACCTCCCTCCCCCACCTTCTCGTCCTTCTCCCCGTTCCCCCAAACCATCCCACAGCCCGTGCCTCTTGCTGCGCATTGCGAACAGGGTCGGCGGCACCGGCCGTCAGGCCTTCTCAATCAAGCCGGGACAAGCGAAATGCGATTATCTTCGCGCCCTTGCAGGTGACCCAGATCGCCAAGAGCCACCGAACACTGCCCCGTATTCGACGCCAACAGAAGAGCCACGGACTGGGAATGGCCTGGGCTCGGCCCCCTCCCAACGACTCCGAAAATCGGGACCTTTGCTGCTTGAAAAAAGGAGGGGGGAGGACGAGGAGGAGAGGGGAGGGATGCGCGCGGTCTCCGCTGCCTGGGGGGGGGGAGGGAGGAGAAGAGAAGTAGGAACAGATGGGGGGAAATGCTGTCCTCTTCCCCGTCGATCTGCACCGCCAGCTGCAGCAACGACACGGGGCGGGGGTCGCGCCACTCCGCGTCCACGCCCACGCGCACGCCCGCGCCGCCCTCCACGGCCGCCGCGGCCCGCAGCGTGGCGGAGCCGAGGGCCTCCCGACGACGACGTCGTCGACATCGCGGCGGCGGCCGCGGCGACGACGGCGGCGGCGGCGGCGGCGACGACGACGACGACGACGACGACGACGACGACGACGACGACGACGACGACGACGACGACGACGACGACGACGGCGGCGACGGCGACGACAGCCACGACGCCAACGCCGACGCCGACGCCGACGCCGACGCCGACGCCAACGCCGACGCCGATGCCGACGCCGACGCCAACGCCGACGCCAACGCCGACGAAGACGACGCCGACGCCGACGCCGACGCCGACGCCGACGCCGACGCCGACGCCGACGACGACGACGACAACGACGACGAAGACGACGACGACGACGACGATGACGACGACTACCACATCGACGACGACGGCGGTGGCGACGAGGACAAAAAGTTTTGTTGCAAGAAGGCCCGATGATGAAAATTGCCAGTTTCCGAACTAAGAATAGGAATGGAATTCGAATTCCCATTGCTGAAACAGGCCGGAGGGAAAGGAGGACGGGGAGGAGAGATAGAGAGAGAGAGGGCCGAGAAGCGAGATGCCGAGTACGGCCGACCAGCGATTAGCGGCTGGCACGAGACACGAGCTGTGCAAGCAGTCTCACACAAGAGAGGGCCGATATATACTCCGCAGGCCGCTCCAGCAGGGCGGGCAGGGCGGACGAGAGCCGAGGCTCGCCACGGCCACTCTCCTCAGCCACTCGGTAGGGCGCAACGTGTTAGATGCAGGCTAGGACAACGCGCGCGCGCGCCGCGCGCGCTGATGTGCTAGCCAAGACAATCAGGAGATGTGTAAGAACGCCATCCCACCACGACCACCACGTGGGAACACCTGCGCTATCGTGGGCATACAAATCTGGATGGCGCATCCCCACTTACCTCGGCACATTGTTCATACACGGATCGTGCCCCCCGGGAGCTCCACCTACGGCCCCCCACCCATCTCGGCACACCATTCGCAAAGACCGTGAGATCGTGCCCCACAGGGAGCTCCACCTACGGCCCCATCGCATAACGGCGCAACCCTCACGCGGACCGTGCTGACCCGCAGGTAACTGCACTTAGAGGGAAGCTTCGCATAGCGTCGCCCCACACGTGTCGGCACACCTCTTGCACGGATCGTGCCATGCAGGGAGTTCCACCTACGGCCCCAGAGGCAAGGTTCGCATCCCGCCCCCCCCCGCCTACTTTGGCATACCTCTCACACTGATCGTGCCGCATAGGGAGCATCACCCACAGCCACAGAAGCAAAGTTTGCAAATCGTCCCTCCCCCCATGCCGGCACACTATTCACGCGAGTCGTGCCCTGAACGAGCTCCACCTATAGCACCAATGAGCAACTTCGCACGACGTCCCCCCATCGATGGTGGCACATGCCTCACACGGGCCGTGCCCCACAAGGAGCTCCACCTGCGGCCTCAGTGGGCGGGTTCGCGCGAGGGCCCCCGGATTGACTCGGCACTTCCCCTCGCGCGGACCGTGCCCCGCACGGAGTTCAGCGCGCCTGTGCACGCTTGCTCCGCAGCAGCTCGCTATCAGCTCACTCTCGCGGCACGCAGTAATTGAAGAGAGGGCCGCACCCTGTCCTACACGTAACTGCATAGGTATGGGTCCGTCGCCAGGCCCATTGCTGGCCAGCTATGGCCTTCGGCCCATACCGCATCCGTGCCTGAGTCTGGGGCCAGAGGCTTATCGGGCGCCTCGTGCGGCGAGTTTTGAAGGTTCTCGGGGCCTCTTGGGGGCCGTTTGGGGGCCTCTTGGGGCCTCTTGTGGGGCCTTGGGGGCCTTTCGGGGGCCTGCTGGCGGCCTCGGAAATAACAGCTCGAGTTTCTCCTCTTGGACCCTTCTCGGGGCCCTCTTGGGCCGTCTTGGGCGCCTCGTGGACAGTCTTGGGGCTGGCCGTCTTGGACGCGGCTAAAACCCAAAACATGCTAAAAATGCACGTTTCCCTGAGGGGATGGAGCAATTTGGGCTTCCTGGGCCTCTTTGGCCATCTTTGGGCGCGGTCGGCCCTGTTGGGCCGCACGTGTGTATGTATACGCCTCCATACGTATAGACATTCATACATACATAGTTACACATCAGAGTGAGGGGGCCGAACGGTCATTCACTGTCCCTGGGTGCGTGGCTGAAAGGGAATTCCGCGGTGCGGATTCGTGTTGTTGTCTGTTGTTGTTTGTTGTTGTTTGCTGTTGTTTGTTGTCGTCGTCCCACCCGCAACCCGCCCCGCGACCCACCCGCGACCCAACCCGCGACCCACCCCGCGACCAGCCCGCGACCCACCCCGCGACCCACCCCGCGACCCACCCCGCGACCCACCCGCGACCCACCCGCGACCCACCCGCGGCCCACCCGCGACCCACCCCGCGACCCACCCGCGACCCACCTTCGACCCAAACCACGTTCAAGGTACAAACCACCATTTTCGGCGCCTGCGGCGGGCTTTTTTTGCATTCCTTCCAGGTGGAGAGCCCGCGACCCACCCCGTGACCAACTCGCGACCAACCCGCGACCCAAACCACGTTCAGGGTACAAACCACATTTTTCGGCGCCTGCGGCGGGCATCTTTTGCATCGTTTCAGGTGGAGAGCCCGCGGCCCACCCGCGACCACGTTCAGGGTACAAACCAATTTTTCGGCGCCTGCGGCGGGCATCTTTTGCATTCGCTCCCGGTGGAGAACCCGCGGCCCACCCGCGACCCACACCACGTTCAGTGTACAAACCAAATTTTTTGGCGCCTGCGGCGGGCTGCTTTTGCATTCCTTCCAGGTGGAGGTGGAGAGCCCGCGACCCACCCGCGACCCAAACCACGTTCACTGAACAAACCAATGCCGAGGGGGAGGAGGGGAAGGAGGAGGGGGAGGAGGGGGAGGAGGGGGAGGAGGAGGACGAGGAGGGGGAGGAGGATGATGATGGACGACAATGGGAGGACGATGATGGAGGCCGATGAGGGGGAGGACGACAATGGGAGGACGATGATGAAAGGACGAGGGGGGGAGAGGGAGGACGAGGAAAAAGAGGAGGAGGAGGACGAGGTGGAGGATGAGGATGACGATGACGATGAGGACGAGGACGAGGACGAGGACGAGGAGGAGGAGGAGGAGGAGGAGGAGAGCGCTATCGACAGGGAAAGTGGGGGCCACGAGGTCCGCCGGCTCGACGACGCCCGCGTCGCCCGCGCCCGCCCCCTCACTCTTATCCGCAATTGCGGAATGCTACGTACATGCATGCATACATACATACACACGTACATACGTACATACGTGCATACGTGCATACCTACACACATACATACGTACGTGCGTACATGCATACATGCATACATACATGCATACCTACATACCTACATACGTACGTACGTACATGCACGCACATATACATACATGCATGCATAGATATATATATATATATATATATATATATACATACATACATACATACATATCTATATATATATACACGCACATACATACATGCATGCATATATGCATATGTACATACATACAAACATACATACATGCATGCATGCATGCATACATACATACATTCATAGGTACGTACGTACATGCATACATACATACATGCATGCATGCATACCTACATTCGTACATGCATATGTACACATACACTCATGCACACTGATATACGTATATACGTACATACGTACATACGGACATACGTACATGCGTGCATGCATACGTACACAGATATACATGCATGCATACATGCATGCCTACCTTCCTACCCACAGATCCACGCACACATATACATATATATATATAGAGATATACATACGTACGTACATGCATACATACATACGTGCATAAGTGCGTGAATTCACACGTACGTAAATACATGTATGCATGCATACCTACATGCATACATACAGGCATGCATGCATGCAGACATTCATGCATACACAGATACACATGCATGCATGCATGCAAACATACATACGTACAGGCGCACATACGTACAGACCTACATACATACGTACGTACATGCATACATACACATATACACATACATGCATGTATGCATACATACATGCATACATGCATACATACATTCATACAAGCATAGATGCACATACATGAGTGCATACATACACACATACTTACATACGTGCATATGTACATACCTACATATATACATACGTACGAACGTACATGCATACATACATACATACATACATACCTACATATCTACATGCATACATATCTACATACATTCATACGTACGTACGTACGCACGTACATGCATACATACGCATACGTACATACGGACATACGTACTTACGTACATACATACGTACAGGCATGCATGCATGCATGCATGCATACACACATACTAGAACCATCGCGCGCGCTTCGCGCGCGCTCAAGTTCTAGCCCAGGCGGGGGTGCGCTGGAAGATCTTTGACAGTGCTGTCAAGCACAGGCGCGAGACATAGTCGTGCCTCCAGAGGGCCTCTTGGAGACCTCTTGGATCTTCGTGGGGGCATCTGAAGGGCTTCTGGGGGGTTCTCCGTGCTTCCTCAATTTGCTGTTGGAGGCACCTCTTGGGTTCTTCTTGGGGCGGCGTCCTGGGGCTTCTTGGGGTCCCTTGGGAGCATCGTCGGGGTTCTCTGGGCAGTCGGAAGGTGATGTTCTGCAATCTGAAGCCGTCATTGGCCGTCTTGGCTGCGTGGAGGTCCGACTTGAGGGCGCCTGAGGCCACACTGAGGCAATCCGGAAGCCTCCCGGGGGCCTCCTGCAGGCAGTTTTGATGCATCGAGGGCACTGTTGGGCAATCTTGGGGCCCCTTGTACGTCTCCTTGGGGCCTTTTGGGGCCACTTGGGAGGCTTATGGGGGCCTCGTCGGACCACTTGGGGACTCTTGGGGCCGTCTCTGGGCCTCTTAGGGCGGAAGACTCTGCTGTTGGGTTCGCGTTCCCATTCTTGGGCCTCTCTTGGGACCGTCTTGGGGCCCTCTCGGGCCGTCTT